GAAAGCAGTCCGTCATTTTGACAGATTAGAACAAACTCAGAACAACGCCACATTTTCCCCGCAGCGAGGCTCCGGTGTTATGCCGTGTTATGCATCCAAAAAGGAAATTACACCGTTTCCAAACCGTACTTTGCCGTACAAATCATTGAAATGTCTGTGAGTTTTGGCTTTACGCTGTGCGCGCTCCCGCGAGGTGCAGTGAGCATGCATAACATGGTGCTAACAGTCAGGGGCGCCGTAAGGGGGTGAAAAGTTAGGACGATTCTAAGGCCCCGTGACCAGTGGCGTTTCTAGGTGTACAAAACTGGGGGGGCAGAAAGAGGTCGGGGGAGAGAGAGAGAGAGAGAGAGAGAGAGGGGGGACAGAGAGAGGGGGGGAGGAGAGAGAGAGGGGGAGTGTCAAATTACATACTGAAGACCACAGGAGCAACACTGTGAGGGCATACATTTACGTACACAGCGTGGGGATATCATAGTAATGCACCTTCATACATGGAGTAAAGGTCACCATCACAAAGTAATTCTTAACAATAACAACAACCGTAATGCTTTAGCATTAAAACACCATAGACTGTAAATATAAGGAAAACACAGACACTCATCATCGAGGTCACAATATCAATCGATCCAGCAGAGGCAAAACACAGAAGATCAACAAAATATATGACATAAATGAACTTACCAAAGCTGAAGGCTCACTTGAAAAGAAAAGCGGCACGGCGGTCCTTCCTCTGACAGAATGTGTCTATCACTTTGGGGATGAAGTCCTGTAGTTGCTGGATCAACTGGCTTTCAATTGAAAGCATGGCCAATGCGTTAAGTCGCGGCTGTCCCATGGTGTTGCGAGTGAAAGTCTTTATCCTTTTGAGGGTGGAAAAGTTCCTCTCTGACTCGGATGTCGTCATCGGAGTTGTCACTATTATTTTGACCAAAATAACAGTCTCAGCAAACGTTTCCTCCAAGTTGTTCTCGTGAATGGATTTCAACAGAGACAGGGCAGTGTTTCCAGTGTGAAGCTCACTGTGGCGGTAGAGCGTGGTCAGCTCAGACTTCAACTTCTCCTTGTTTCCCAACGCAGGCCACAGTTTCACGGCGCAGTCAAGCTCAGGTGTAGGAAATGACAGGACATGCTGTGGGAAGAATGAGCTGTCAACAACCTTTGCAGCGATCAAATGGTCACTCTGTGAGAACCTCTGTTCCACCTGTGAGATGACTGTGTCACAAGCCTCCTTCATCACCGGCGCTGTGCTGCTGACTCGTCGGCCTGGCTCGTCTGTTCCATCATGAGCAGTGGCGGCCAATGCATCAGTTTTCTGCCTCATTTTCTGAACATTTTCCTTGAAACGGCAGAGCGCGCTGTTGATCCCAGGTGCATCGATGCTTCGTTTTTGCAGAGTGTTGTATAGAACATCCACTTCTGGCATAAGCAACGAAAAAAACTCCAGGAGCTGCATAAATGCTCGGTCCCGCAGTTTCTTTGACAGGCCGTATGCCTCACTTATGGTGACCGCATCCCATCCTGGTTGTGCGCGTATATGCTTCATACACTGAAGTAGTGCATCTCGGGTCTCTCAAACCGCGTTCACAGTTCTGCTTTTAAAGTTCCATCTCACAGCCGGTGGCCGTGGTATGCGTCTCTGTGTTGCCTCTGCAAGAGCTGCAACACGTTTTGGAGCACCGGAGAAAAAAGTGGAAAAAGCAGTTAGATCTGCAAAAAACCCCTTCAGGATGCTCATCCTTGCTGAACACAGTTGCTGCAGGGTCAGGTTCAGTTGGTGGGCGTAGCAGTGAACAAACTGAGCGTTTGGGTACGTCTCCTTCATCACCGTCTGTACCCCGCGCACGTTACCGCTCATGAAGGCCGCCCCGTCATAGGTCTGAGCGATTAGCTTTTCTTTCAGCTTCAGGGGTTCCAGAACAGCCTTGATGCTGTTAGAGAGACCTACACCAGTTTTGTCCTTTACTTCCACAAACTCCAAAAAACGCTCTGTAACTGTGAGGTCAGGCATAATGTATCGCAGCACAATCACCATTTGCAATTTACAGGAGACATCGGTTGTCTCGTCGGCCTGAACGGCAACAAATGATGTGTTGTCCACTTGCTTGGCTATTTCCTCCCTGTACACATCATACATGCAGTCCAAGAGTTCATTCTGTATGGTGCTTGATGTCCCTTTGAAAACAAGCTGAGCTTCGTAGTGCCGTTGAAGCCTCACACATTGTCTCGAAAATTGACCTGAATATCCCTGGATTCAGAGAGTCCGCCGACTCGTTGTGGCCCCGCAGTGCTGTCTCACATTTCCCACACAGTTTAATACAGGTGATGATCCGACCAAGCACGTACCTGTTTTCTTCCACCTTCCTATTATGAGAATCAATGCCACGTCTGTAGGCGCTGTCAATCTGAGCTGCAACATTCACCCTTCCAAGTAATCCCAATTTTACGGCATTTTCCAAATGACTGTTGCTGCTCTCATGCTTCATTGTCCTCTCCGAAAGATGCTTTAAGTCCTTGTAACCTGTCCTCGACCAAGTACCTTGATCTTCACCAAAAAGCAGGCAAGGAAAGCAAAAGAGGGAATTCTTCTGGATGCTCGCCGTTAGCCATTTCTTTTTAGCAAACCACTCAGCGTTAAACCCACGTTTAACTTTGCCCGCAGTCTGGACCATTTGTAAATCCGGTGGATGGTGGGCACCGAGGCGCTTTACCTCCAGTTTCTCTCCGAGACTAAGTGTCTCAAATGTGTGCTCCAGTAAATGGTCAACTTCATTCATTTTCTTTCAGTTTTTTACTTCTTTTAATCGCTGGTGATGTTAGCTATATGCTGCTCTCTCGTCTCCTCTTCAAACTACACGTGACGTTTCGCAGCACTGCACACGTGAGTACTTACAGCCAATCAATTCTGAATTATGTGAGATGACGTATGGTGGGGATGGGAGCACTCTGCCCCTACGGTCATTATTTTTTTGCCACACACATTCAATAGAAAAATACTCTGAGCATGCGCAGTGTAGTTTTTACAATCACCGTTCACTTAGACTGTGAGAGGGAAGGGCAGGATCGGGTTTTGTCCCACATGGCTCTAAACAGCTCAAAACGGCACTCTAGACACTAATTAGAAGAACACAGACTAAAACAGAAATGTACAGACGAATCAGATTATTAAACATGACCTTAAAATATATTTTATATGTTTTTTTATTTATTTTTTAGTATTTTTTTGTAATCATTATTTGTAATACTTTCTTCTGACACTAGGTGGGGCTGTGCCCCACCTGCCCCTAATGACCCGCCGCCACTGCCCGTGACTGACAGGGGCCAAAACATTTTTTAGAACATTAAGAAAAATAATTTAAGTAACTTTTCATCAATCATCAATAATTAACATTAATATAACGTTATATTGATAATGTAATCACTAAACTTACGATTAATTTAACTTATTTTCTTCCAAAAGTTAATTATCCAAAGCCTCTGTACACCCCCCTCTATTTACATGTAATGGTTTGGTCCTGCCTCCAAACACTGTGCGGCTCCGCTCTTCCTAGCAGCAGAGAGTGAGAGCATGTGAGGAGGGATGCTAGTACTTACGTATGTACCATGTCTCAACGACTAACAAAGTCAGGCTTTCAAAAAAGAAAAGAAAGGAGAGAAAGACAAGAGAGAGGGACTAAAGGGCGACAGTATGTCACCCAGTTTTTCAAAAGAAAAGGTGGGTGTGGTCCATGAGTGGTGGAAATTAGTCCGTTAGCTAAGCGTAGTCCATTGTAAATAATAATTGTAATGTTTTGCTGACATTAAGTACTGTTAATATCTTCACAGAAAATGCTGAGGTTTTTCATTTCACTCCTCTTTTAGCTGACATTTAATAAAGGCAGTTACATTTTTAGCAGCTATTCATACTAAATCAATTGTCCCTCCCCCTGGTGCCAGGACCAACAGATCCATCTTTAGGCTCCGCAGCCCTGTCCCCCATAAGGCTTTGCAGTCTTGCCATGCTGTTCATTGAAAGCCAGTTGGCTAGCAAGCTGGACTTCAAGGACTTGATCAGTGACTTTGCCTATAAGAAGGCTAGGCGCTGGGCGCTTGGTGAGTAAGGCTGAGCAAGGGCTCGTAATAACTGTTAAAGGGCAAGGCTATAGTAACGATATTGGATCACACAGAAGATGCATGATGGGAAAAAGACTGAGAACAGGTAATAGGCTCTGATTTAGCGCCACCATCAGGCCTTTTCACTTCCATTTCTGTTTTGTTGTCCATTTACACTTTAATACCCGCTTATTTTGTAGTTGGTATGTATATAAAATAACAAAATCTGCTGCTTATGTTATTTCTGTTGTTATAGCATTTTATAAATGATAATATTGGTGTTAATGTTCACTTTATTTTTATTTAAGAGGTCATGTATATTTAAGTTATATTTATTTTGATTTATGAATGAACTCCATAAAAGATGACTATTGAGGTCTATTGTCAGGAATGTTAGTCTTATATCAAATAGTGAATTCTACTGCAGCAGAATGTTGCATGTCTGCACAGTGTTATATTTTCACAGCTCAGTGTCAGTAAATATTGTGCAGTTAGTATTGGACTACAAGATAGATGCAAGCCTGTACAGGTAGAGTTATTTAAAGCATAAATGAGTCGGTTGGGTTCTGGAGGTGTGGTTACAGCAATTGTGCTTGGTTGGCGTGGCCTGGGCCTGGTGGTGGGGCCCAATGTGATATATTTTCATGGGGCCCAAAATCCCTGGCGGCACCCCTGCTAACAGTTCACGAGCGTGCGTCTCATCAGAGTTGTGTAAAGGCCGACGGGTAATACTCGACTTTGATGGAAATGTTACGATCCTGTCCGTCAAAATGCCGGGCAACGAAAAAGTCTAGCACAACCTCTGAGAGTGAGATAAGAATTGTTAGCTTAATGAGAAGCAACTAAGAAGGTTTCTGTATCAATCACGGCGTCACATGACTCTCTGTTTCCTCTCCTTCTGTCCTTTACAGGAAATGTCTTTGTGGTGAGCCTGGCCTTTGCAGATTTGGTGGTTGCATTCTACCCATACCCTCTGGTGTTGTACGCCATCTTCCATGATGGCTGGTCACTGGGAGACACCCAGTGCAAGGTGAGCCATGACTGTATATCTATATTGAATGCTGACTTGGTTTTAAAAAATGTTGGTTTTCCTTTTTGAGGTACTAAAAAATGTGCTTAAAAACTAATACAATCATAATGAACGTTCCTGTATTTCAGGTGAGTGGCTTCCTGATGGGCTTGAGCGTCATTGGCTCGATCTTCAACATAACAGGCATTGCCATCAACCGCTACTGTTACATCTGCCAAAACTTCAGCTACGACACGCTTTACAGCTACCGCAACACGCTGCTGCTGGTAGCACTCATCTGGCTACTGACGGTCTTAGCCATCGTGCCCAACTTTTTTGTTGGCTCGCTGCAGTACGACCCCCGCGTTTACTCATGCACATTTGCACAGACAGTCAGTGCGACCTACACCATCACGGTGGTGGTTGTCCACTTCTTCGTGCCCATTGCTGTAGTCACCTTCTGCTACCTGCGAATCTGGATCATGGTCATCCAGGTGAGGCGGAAGGTGAAGTCAGAGGTCCGCCCTCGCATCAAGCCCAGTGACCTGAGGAACTTTATCACCATGTTTGTGGTGTTCGTGCTGTTTGCTATTTGTTGGGCACCGCTCAACTTTATCGGGCTTGCTGTTGCTGTCAACCCTGAAGAAGTGGCGCCTCACATCCCAGAGTGGCTATTTGTGGTCAGCTACTTTATGGCTTACTTCAACAGTTGCCTTAACGCTATTATCTACGGCCTGCTGAACCAGAACTTCCGTAGAGAGTACAAGCGGATTGTCATGTCTGTGTGGAAGCCACAACTCTTTTTCCAAGAGACGTCCCGGGGGGGCACTGAGGGCATAAAGATGAAACCTTCGCCCGGACTCAATAGCAACGAGCTAAATAAAGGAGAAACTCTGTGACAGTTTCCCCTTCTTTCATGTCCTTTGCACCAACTGTACCAAAGCAATGGAACGAATTCAGAAAGAGTGGCTAACTCAGCGTTACTGAGATTTATGAAAAAAATATGACAAAAGTGACATATTGACTATTATAGCTGTGTTATCCATTCCACAAAGAATGCCATTTGTAAAATGAAGGCTCTTTTATTTCTGTTGGTACTGATTTTATCTTAAGAAAACCCGTTTTTTCTAAATATGAGAAAATAGTGTTTTTTTAAAGGTTTAAATGTCTAAAACTCATCACTCATCTTTGTTTACACTAAATCACCACAGATGATACCAAACTCACATCAGAATAAGATTGTGCTATCAGAGGGAAGAGAAACAAGGATATAAAACACAGATAATAGTTATGATAAGATACTACGATCTTTGTCTGACATTTTGACAATTAAGACAATGAAGTCTGGCATTTTATGGATCCAAATGATGAACCCTAAAGCATTTTGACACTTCCTTTCCTATCACTAATGACAACCATTTCAAAATGGATGAGTCCTAAAAATGTATTGCAATTTATTATGTAGTATGTTTTGTACTCCTCAGGGTGTCTGCCTCTACGCTGTGTACTTGAAAGTGGCGGCCCAAACAGATTAGTAATTCCACACCATGATCCAGGATGGTTGTCTAAAAGTCCTTCTGGATTCCAGTACTGTATTGTTATTGTACTAATTGTGTGATTTTTGCTCATCAAATGTTATTGCTATTGTATAACAGTAGCTATTTTATCTCTAATTTCTACCAGAATCGTTTTCCCTTTCTCTTTGTTACTGGATAATGCCTCAATTTGTTTATGAGCATTTAAAGGTTTGTCAAAGGTGCCTGATTTATTGTTAATTTAAATGAAGAATACCAAAAACAAACATTGTGACAGAAGGCAATGGTGGGGTTACAGTTGTATTATCCTTTCCTCATCAGCTGAAAAGAACAGCTGTGGAGAGTCAAGGTGTGTTCACACAGAATAACATGTATGTAAAGTCAAAGCAAATACGCAGCTGGATATAAACAAACACACACACATACATGTTTATATGACATATCAGGACCTGTAAAATAATGTGACAAATAGGGACATACCTTTCCCAAGGTCTTGGAGACCTGGGAATCAGAGTATTTCATATCCATGCTTCTAGAAAACAATTTATGTGTCATGGGATTTTTTAAGGCTATGTTTTGTGAAAACCTGATCAAAATGCTACTTGTAAGGACATTTACAGGTTAATGTGACTTGTGCGGCCCATAGCAACACAATACATTTAAAGTTTATGAGACTTTTAAAGTCCTGGTTATTCACAAAATAGGGTCTGTGCTTGAAACTCCTACATATGTTTTAAATCTCTGCGTAAAAAGCTTAGGTGTACAATAAAAAACTCAAACGTGTAAAAAGAAGTTAGGATATTTCCAACAGAAAAGCCTTGTCTTATTCACATGTCAATGAAACAAAATAAAACTGAAATGTTTAGAGACTTGAATAAGCACATTCTAAACGGGACATAGCTTATACAGTTTTGTCAGTCTACTGTTTAAGTTTTATTATTATTTATTTATAAATGCTGTAGTAAAGAATTATGTAAAAAAAAAAAGAGGAAACACTTAATGCCTTTATTACTTGAGTAAATTGCTGGTAAAATATGTAAATTATAGTAGCAACCAAAACAGGAGCAAATATGAAAATGATTAACTATCAGACCCTGATAGCACCTACCCTGATAGCAATTCCATAACCATCCATCCTAGGGCTGCCTTTAATGAAAGCCTCCTTAGTCACCTAACAATCACAGGATTCTGTAGACTAACCAATAAGTAGATGTGATCACTAAATCTGCATTCATGTTCAATGTCCGATATTAAAATATATGTGAATATTAATGCAGTCATTCAGGGAACTCTTCTCAAAATGTAGAGCTTTTTAAAGTACAAAAAATGTTTCTATTGTCAAAACTCATAACTGGGAAATTATAAGCCCAAGTCAGCTCATTAGTGCAAAGCCTTGTCATCTGTCATATTTGTACAAATAGTGCAAAATAATTATAAGCTCTTGAATTAAGTGTGAACACACCATTGGTCATCAGACAAATGCAATACTGTAATTATATACCATTCAGATGTGTCTGTTAAATTGTTAGAACATTTATTTATGTAAGTCTAGAATAAACTCATAACACAAAAACCCTGAAGTCATATGAAAGCACAATTATGTACAAACCCCAGACGACAGTGTACTTCATACAGTTTGCAGGTACAAATCTTAGTAAAGTTTCAATCTTAGTAAATATGAGAATCACCAATCTCTCTATGCATTTCATACTTCATAACCATACCCAAGAACAGCAAAAGAACCTTACTCAATACTTAGTAACTTACTACTTTTGTCTCTAGTATATCTTAGTAAAACCAAGGAAACAGGTGGCCTGTATATCTCGTTGGTAAAGAAAGTGCATGTCTGAATGAACTTTGAATACTTCTGCTTTTGGTTGGGTTGGAGGATTCTGGCTTGGGTTGTTATGAAAACTGTGAATATTGCTGCTGAAAATATTATGATAATGATGATATTGAAACAATGATGATGCTGATTAAGCTAAATGGATAGCAATTGACATATTTCTGCCTTGGAAATGCCAAAAAATGCCTGTAAAAAATAAATACCTTGTATTTTTTTTAAAGGAATAATAAGCAACTTTCTCATGGATCTACTGTCAGTGCGCATTATAAAAACAATATCTTAACTTTCTTTGCCTGAACAGTCACTTGTGTTCCTTAAGGAAAAATAACAAGATATTGTCATGGTTTTGGATTTATGTTGTTTTTGTTGGGGAATAATTTGCCCTGCATGTCCTCCTTCGCCCTCTGAAGCAGCTGACCAACCTTGAGCAGCCGTTATCTCCCGTAAGGAGGGGCTACCCTAGCATATTGTTGATGTTGCCAGTTTGTGACCGGGCAACTCTCGGTCAGAGATAGTTATTGTTGTGGGATTCAGTGTCCTCAGCTGTTTAGTCTATCTATTGAAGAATGTTGACTATTACACTCTGAACTAGTTAAAACCTCGAGCTACAGGAGAGTTCTTCAGAATTGATTGTGGCATCTCAACCGTGTGGTCAACTCGTGGCCCGTGACTTGTCTTGTGAATTCTCCGGCCGAAGCTCCAAATAACCCATCAGTGTTTGCCATCAAAGCTCCAGCTCTCCTCGTGTCCTGACTTTCCATTGCTACAGAAGTTTCCCCCATAGTTTTCATTTTCAACCTTTTTATTTTGAAATGTTTTCCTCCTTGTGTCTTGTCTGATCCTACTTCCTGTGTTTGCCTCCCTGTATTTAGTTTCCCTCCTGTGTCTGATTGTGTTCACCTGTTGCCCTTGTGTTTCTGCCTCCCCTGCCCAGCTGTGTCTTGTCCTGTGATTACCCTTGTGTGTATTTAGGCCCAATCCCAAACCGCCCCCTACACCTACGTTTGTGCGTTCGCGCGGAGGGTCCGCCACATTAAGTGCTGTTCCAAACCAACGAGTATGGAGCGGTGTGGAGGGGAGGGGGAGTGGGCTATCAAGTAGTGATGGTGAGATGAAGCCTTATGAAGCTTTCCAGCCAATTGGTTCGCAAAAGGGTTCATCTCATGAGGCTTCATCATGGGCTTCATTTGAACACAAACCCCCCGTTTGTGTTCAAATTAAGCCCATGATGAAGCCTCATGAGATGAACCCTTTTGCGAACCAATTGGCTGGAAAGCTCCAGCTTGGCTGTTGGTCAAAGTGTGTAAAACAGGCAGATTTGACATCTCAATAGTGTGCTGTATCTCATACCGAATTCCCAATGAGTAAAGCCTTAGAATAACTCTAATCAACCAACATAAAATCATATTTTCATGTTAACAATATTGTATTTATTCCAGTTTAATGATTGTGATTGAAAAGCCTAAGGAGGCTGGTAAACATTGCAAAGAGGGATTTGTATTCCTTAATAATATTCGTAAACTTAACCATGTTGTAGCCTGAGAAAAGCTAAACCATATCAAAGAATACATTTATTAAATACATTATCTCATTTAGCTGTAGCTTTTATAAACAAAAAAAAAGACTTATTGACCAGGAACCCTGCGGTTGAAAGTCAACTGCTTTCCAGCTGAGCCGCAGCACACACTCAGAATTTGTCTGAAAACACTGTATACTATTTATTCCTGTATTTATTCATGTTTTTATTCCTACATTTATTTATGCTATATTTATTTATACTTATGACATGTTCCGACCTCTATAAGTGAGGGTCTGAGCTCTCTTAATTCCATCGTGTCACTGGGCCCGGGTACAGGAGGGGTAATATGGTTCTTATTATACATCCATGGGTATTATGAGCGTTGTGGTTCAGGGTTCAACCATAGACTGTAGGGTTCAACCGATCTAAAGCACTTTCTGAAGCAGTCACGTGGTATTGAGGGACAGCGAGGCTTCGTTTGTCATCGGTGACGTCACTGGCCCAAAACCACACAAGCCTCGATACAAGCTTCACAAAAAGCTTCAGGGATTACTCAACACACGCTCCAAATCCTCGGCGCAATACGTAACATCACTACTATCAAGCCCTCAAACAGCGAGTCTGCTGCGGTGCTGACTGGAGACTGGTCTCTACCTGACTGGAAATTTGACTGTATCAGAGAAGAGGTATGGCCTATGTCTAAAGAAATCTAATTTGCAATAGAACTGTACCAGATATTTCCATACAACTACTGGTTAGTGTTCAATAGCACCCTAGACAATTCAGTAATGGTATATCTTTTAGGGATTTCTGTTTTTCTGATAAATGAGAGAAAAGTGATGGAGTCCTATGTTCCTATCACCAAAAAGTACACTTTCCGTCTAAACTAAAGCTAAGTTTACAGGACTATAATTCAGTATTCTTTTAGTTAAATACTTGTCTGACTATTTGGTGATGTAGGACAGCCACCTGGTTCATACCTCAGCAAATCTGAAGAGGATAAGAGAGGTCATTCTCAAGTTATGGGCTTTTTTGTCACCTTTCCCACATTCGGCCTGGTCTAATTTGGCTCTTTTTCAGGGATTGGGGTAGTTCTAAAGAACAACCAAAAAAACATTTTTTCCCCCAAAATAAAATTTGACAACAATCAATTTCATTAATGGGAGACCCTAAAGATAAGAAAAATCATTGTTGTCATTTGTTCTACCTCGGGTAGGGGTATCTCAAAATCTGAGGGCCCTTCCTGCTAGACTATAAACTTAATTCCAGACAGCCTGTCATTGTGGACACATAAGTGAGTTAGAATGAATAGATGAGATGAAGATGAAAAATATAAAGAGACTGTGTGTGCCCTCTTGACTGTAGTTGCTTGTTTGTTTTTCTCTCATCTGTTTTCCTACTAGTGTGTTTATTTGATTAAACTGAACATCCAATCTGTGGTTTAATTTGCACCCTCTGTGATGATGGAAGCGAAGGAAATGGCCAAAGGAGCAGACACACGCCGCAAAACATGACCGGCCAACTCATCAACATCTCCTACTTTACCAATGCCCAATAATCTAGTTGGTGGGTGAGGGCCTTAATCCGTACTGCACAAAGTTGTTCGGCCAGTTACTTTTGTGTGTGCTATTTAGAAACCTGGGGATTTCCAGGATGACCCATTTGTCATAATTCTCATTGATCAATCAATGGTCCAGTGTTTTAACATCACCTTTCAGGATCAGCTCTCTCAGAACCATGGCTGGAGTGGAGCAGATAAAAGTACCAACCCTAGTGGAATCTCATCAAGAGCAAACCGAGTAGAGGAGCGTAGAGCTGTAGCCCTTTTATAGTTTGTTTGGGTTTTCCCTTTCCTGTAGTGTGTTATATAAGTTGCAAATTGTATGTAAAGGCTAAAATCCCAAAGTTCCCTTCAGAAGGAGTTTCTCTCCCAAAACACTCACCTTTCATTCTCTCAGTTCAGATGTTTGAACAGAGGGACCTCTAGTGGTAAGAACTGGAAGGCACTGTTTCCACGGCAGGGCATAAGTCTCAAAAACAGGAGATTGAAGGCCAATGTGTATCAAACCACAAAGTGAAATATACAACTATCAGCTAAAGACACCAACCTGTGTCCAAAGTGCATATTTTCAATATGTCGTGAACAAGGTCTTAAATAGTAGGCTAGGAAAAATATTAATAATTTTTCTAGTAATTTGTAAATGGGCTTTTTTGTCCAAGTCATGTTGAAAGAGTTGGAAACTCAACAAAAACACCAGCTCAATTCAAATCCACGAACTAGTCAATTATACAAACATTGCATACTATCATAGACGTAAACCTAATTTAAGGTAAAATTGTCTTTATATTGGTAGTAAGCATCATATCGACTTGTGTCATGTTCATTTGTTTGTATAGTGTGATGGGGATTGAATCACCGACCGTCTACTACTACTACAACGTGGGTTAACCACTTGATGCCAAACAAAGACACGCCACACAGCCCCGAACATTTTGCAAGTTTAATAGTTAAAGAATGAAAAAACACCTAAATGTTTTTGTCGTCACATACAGACCATGGTTTGGCACAAAATCCCCTACAATCCACTCCAAGGAGCGAAGTCACAGAGGCACTTTCATCGTGAGCAGGCCAACTGAGCCAGTGAGCCGGTGAAGACACGGAGGAGTCTGGAGGAACATCCGTACGGAGCGGGGACTTTAGCAACCACCACCCAACAATCCTCAACTAAAGCTAGGAAAAGCAACGGGGGGGGGGGGGCGCATCTCGAGGGCAGGGGGTCGATCTGGAGATTCATCTGCAAAGTATCGACTCTCCTCTGTGGGAATCGGCATGGACAGTCCACAATCATGTTTTATCGTTTTCTTTTATTTAGACAAACCCAAATAAAAGGCACATAAAACATTGCGCATGTTTACATAATTATTCTCAATGGACATACATTTAAAAAAAATGTAGGAATGTTTTACCTTTCTGCTAATCAGAAAGCCTAGCCTTTGTATATACAAAAATTACCGTTTGTTAATGTTCTAATACAAAAAGATTTATAAAAGGTTATTTTTTTTCCTTGCATGTGTCTTTCATAACTAACATGTCCTCTGATCTAAATGGTTTGTACAAAGATATACATTAATTTGCCTTCACATCTGCCAAATTCATCATACAAACTTCACAGAAAATAAAATGAAATCTTCCAAATCAATATTTGGCCAAATGTTTTTCACATTAGGTTGAAGTCAAATTAAAGAAATGAAACCAGATGGTTAAATATCAGTTACAGTTACATGACCCAAATACATATCTCAATTCATGTTGAAAGTTGTTCCTGGAGTAAGAGAACTTCACAATCATAATGTTGTAAAAAAGAAAAGCTAACAGTTTGGTTGCCACGGGGCCCGGGCCGTCTGAACTGATGAAGGCTTCCCTCACAAAACGATTCCCTCACACAGCACATCGAGAGGAAGAAGCATCGACGTGTGGAAAAGTCTTGCAAAGTATTTCAGGCACACTTGTTTACGGCCACTGGAGAAGGACAAATGACACGGCGCACTTCCTTCCATTCTAATTTTTTTAGTGTTTTGTTTTCATAAAAAGTTACTAGCCTTCTAATTATGGTTTTGAACTCAAACCTACACTGGACAAGCTCCGTCATCCACATGCAACATTGTAAAAATAAAATAAATCATATAGATGGGAAATTCATTTCAAAGATCATAATGCCGGTACACATACAAGCGTTTCCCTTGGTGGCCAGTGTTGGCATGCATACAATAAAACTGAGGGGCTGCCGAAATGCAGATGCAGCCAGGAGAGCTGTCAAATTAAATAATTTGCATTCCACCAAATAGAAATGCCCCTTTTAGTACCACTCCTCTGTAGTGTGCACATCCTACAGTTTGCTGCAAGTGCTTCAGAGTGCCTGTTGTGAAAAAAGGAGCTTAACCACCAACAGGCTTCACATCTACGAACTACTCCCACCCACCAGGGGAGAGTGGGACTTTATGTGAGGCTGGTTCAGAAACTGCTGAGGCTGAGATCACAAGAGGCTCAACATGACAAGAGCACGTCTTCAACACATTCAGGCGTAGTTCTGGGCCTTGGCCATTTCAATGTACAACGTTACGGTCTGCTCTGATATCAAGGGGTTTTTGATAGTGGTGTAGGAATGAGTCATTCACCTGGAAATGAGTAAACATGGTGTACTGCCATTTGTGTTAATGCACTACAACTGCCTTATTCTTAGCTTTGGTACTATGATAGGACTGGTATGCACAATATCAATATCTCAGTTATTATACAAGTGCTTCCTCCCACGTTTGCATAAGGTTGTCCGTCTCTGTGGATGCCATTTGAAAAGGTTAGTGTTTCAGTTTTAAAGATGATCAAATCGCTAACACCTCTTCTCAGTAACGCCTGGCATGAAAAGCCCGTATGAATGTGGAACTGATGAATCCTACTATGCTTCTCTGACATGCCAATATTGAGTGGGAAATAAAGCCTCCTTTGTGATCACAGCCTCAATTTTCCAGTGAAGATGAACTGCCAGGATTACAAATATAATCCCAAACAAAGAATAAAATAACACTGAGCTATGCAAGTGCGGTCTACAGAGAAAATACAGCTTTAAAAGGATATGGCTGGAGTTTTCTCTTTAGGTGCAGTTCTCCTGTAGAAAACAGCTACGGCCTCATATCGCTAACACTTTGCCACAGAACCATACGGTTTACACTGTGTTCCTTCAATTAGAATAATTACATAAACCTTGTGTTTTCCCACCAATACATCTTTGACAATTGTAAGGAGTAGGTTGAACGATCTGAAGAGCACATGCTCAGTGTTCATGTATTTGAAGAAGCCATAGCTGCACAGAGCATTCTTGTTCCCATGTTAAACCTTTTTCTAAGGGATTTGATGATGGAAAGGTACCGCCACCAGCCTCATCCTTCAGTTGCTGCTCATGTCTCTCCTCGGATGGACGGCCACATCAGTGATGTAGTTCTTGCATTGCTAGCCTGTGGAAGTAGAGATGCTCCCTCTCCCACGGGTAAAAAGGCAATCAAATAGTGTTTCATATTTACAAAGAAATGGCCATGTTTTTCTTTTAAAGACTATTCTCAGTAACCTTCCTGAGTTGGACTGACAGTGATGGGATCCTAAACCTGCTGAAGTAAACAATATAAATGAACATACGAGTTCACTTGGGGACTGCTTTCATTATAGGGAGCCACTGGGTAGCTCTCTTGACCTCTACAGTTTAAAAAAGAAGAAGAAATCAATTCAAATGTAAAAAATGTTGACCTCTGATAATACTGCCATTTAAAAGGGCAACCGGTAGGGGACACGCTTTGAGTACAAGACATTTCCTCTGTGTTGTACCTTCAACTGTCATGTCCTGATATAAATACATACAAACATTCCCAAACAGATGTCACTAGTGTAGAGTAACCAGCAGTGACCACTGACTGCTTTCCAGCCATTTCAAAACATAAACATGGTGGGGAGGGGATAGTTGATGGATCTAAAACAGCCTCTGAACCGTCGACTCACCCCCCCCCCCTGAAATGGAAGCTTTGTTTTTCTTTCGTTAAACTTTAAAATACATAAACTATCAAATACTGATAAGTCCACTAAAATAACAACGGAAACAAACTAAATCTGCCTGAAGAGGAAGCATTTAAGTACAACTCCAATACACTTCAGGTTTAAGGAGCTTTAAAACGAAGCCTAATGGAGGAGGGTAAAGTATCACCCACGTTCCAAGTCAGATACCCAGTTGAAAATAATCACTTGTCGTTCACTTTGACGAGATCGACACCGTCCTTCAGCGGTTAAATAAAAGAGAGAGAACTCTAAAAGGGTGTGCGTCTCCACAGCATATAATGTGTTTAATGCCAACACTGCTGCAATAAGCTCGCCCTCAACTACCTGTAATAGTAAAACCTACTACCCGAGTTTGAAAAAAGGAGTAGGCAATGGATAAATAAAAACAAATATGGTGAAAACGTAGCAGCTGATATTGTAATAACTGCCCAATAATTTCAAACTAAAGTCAAAGGAAGTCTTTTGGTTTTAAAGGAGTGTAATAAAACCTGTTCATGTAACCGTTAACGCAAAGAAATGTAACAGAATGGGATATTAAGGGTAGAGGTGGCTTCTAAGGAAACAGAGATCAGACTCCTCCGCATAAGGCGCCATTTCATCTGTGTTTCAAAAAGGAGAGTAGAGTGTCTTATGAGGGTTTAATGGTGTTTTATGGTTTTCCCCATATCTTTTAAAATATAGCATTTAGGGGGAAACTAGTTAGAAAATCTTTGGCATAAAATGGTCATTATTTACACAGAATATCTGCGGAAAATGTCCAAAAACATCCGTCCGTTAAGTGTGTGGCTGGTGAGATGTTTTGGGTTATTCGGGCAGTAGAGGAAACTCATTTGAATTATCGGATAAGAAAGTTCCTTCTTCTTCCAAATGGTTTCACTTGTTAACGTGATCTTTAGGATCATTTTCTAGCCTTTATGGAGCTTACAACGTGATATCATGTTCTCGATCAGACCAAAGAGACGAGGCCAAACTTACCTGGCACTTCAAACTGTCTTTGAACAGACAGTGGGTCAAACCGCAATAAGACAAATAAGTCAACTGATTGTTTTTCTCTTTTCATGTTTGAAACGGGAATGGCCCCAAGGAGTCCGACCCAGGCGAGCTACACCATGGACCAGGGCAGAGCACTAGAACGCATGATTGGAGAGGATAATAACTTGCTGTCAGAATGTTGCTAGTTGGTTTAAACTGAGACATCTTTTCATTTGAGTGTATTAGGCCAATGCTGCTAGACTTCTTTATGGTTAACCTCTTTATAGTATGTTTGCATCAATGTGATGAAGTATCTTAATGTGACAGGTAATACATTTAATGGGTAGCAAAAACAGAAACTCCCATCTCACTTCGATGAAATATCTAGAACTGTCCTATATTACAACATCTAAAATAAAAATGATTTAAAAAAAAACATACTATGAAAGATAAGTGGTTAAAGTTTGCCATTCTCTCGTGGAAGGCAGTTTACATTACTTCATATGCTGATTCTCTGCAATGAGAGACTGTCGCAACATTATTTCTCTATCATGAGTAAGAATATAGGAACTTTTTGTTTCTACTCGTACAAATAAAATAAAGAATGCGTCACCCCTGCAAACAGCAATCATTTGTTACTATCTATGAGTTTGTACTACATTAGTCATCACCTTTTTGACTGGTCCAAAGGAACATTCGACTAAGATTTGACGTGCTCGTCTATTATTTGGCAGCTAAAACATTATCAGCGTTTACATAAGCTAAAAAAGAAAAGAAGCTCTACCAAGGAGGGGAGGAAGGCAGGACTTGGGATAGAAAAGGCATGCTATCCATGGGCCTCATGGCGATGTTGAGGGGCCCGGTGAGATTCATGGACATGGGAGAAGTGATGGCCACGGGGTGAGCGATATTCATGTGTGCTGTCGTGGGGATGTTGATGGAGGTCAGGTTCACGGGGCCGGTGATGGTGACGGGGTGCTGCAGGTTCATCTGTGACGTGATGTTCACCGTGCTGGTGGCGATGTTCATCTGAGCGGCGATGGTGATGGGGTTGCCGATGAGGCCTCCGCGATTCAAAGCCGAGGTGATGGCCGCAGAATGTGTGACCGCCGTCGTACTCGCCGAGTTGTTGTGCACGTTGTTGGCATCTGTTAAAACAAAAAAACGAAATTGAGATCCGGTCGACCGTGTGGGAATATACTACCCCTCCACAACGGAGAACAGCCCTCTCAGCTCCGTGGCTGTTTAGCTGGGGTCACTGAAAACGGCAATGAATCATTAATATGTCAACTGTAGGAAAAGTGTTGAAGAAACCTACCTCTGTGAGAGTTGTCAATTAGGACTTGGAAGGAGTTATTTAAAATCTCTCCTACCGTCAACTCACCTGAGGGGTAAATTCAAAAAGCAGGATCAATAAACTAACCAGCTAACTGTCCATTTGCTTTTATTCAAAAACGTTCATTTTAAAAACAGGTATACATTATGACGGACATCTTTAGCTCTGTGTCCGCCTAAGGCTGGACACTACACTGACAGACTGCCAATTTGATCAGTGCAGATGAATTTTTTGTAAAACATTATAATTGGTAGATTTTGAGGACAAGTGTGTGGACAAAACAAATTGAAGTATCAATCTGGTCAGTTAGGACAGATATGTCAGTTGGGTAATACGAGAGGACCTCTGAAGAGAGGCCAGGTAGTGTGCAGCTAGCTTAAGTGTTATGGTCCAGTTTGTGGTTAGTTTAATTGATCTACTGATCCCGCTTCATGAAATGTAACCTTAGTTTGGCAAAAACACTAGATCTTCGATACAGAAAACCCTAATTACATCAGTCCTCTGGAGAAAAAGAAATGCTTGTGCACATGAGTGACATGGTACGTGAAGAAAAACTGGCCACTTGTGTTTTGTTGGATTCAGTGTTTAGGGGGTTTTGCTACGAGCTACTGGTTTACCTTTTCGTGGCCCTGAGTGGTTCCACTGCCAGTCACTTATGCCTATTCAGAAATACAGACACATATGGGGTTACATTAGCACAGGGCAACAGTGTCCTCATGTGGGAGTCAGCTTCAACAGTCAGCATGGTTGGACTGTGTTGCAGTGTGGGACTGGTGTGGTAAATATTAAACATTCTTCTCGTGGGCCGATTTACAGACGTCTCATTTCCAATGCAAGTGGATTGGATAAAGTTATTTTGAGCCCAATGGCGTCACGTGTCGGTCACTGAGGTTCTAGTAGCAACGTTAAGCCACTGGGAACATTTGCTTCAATGCCCGGCTCACTTCCTGGGGCTTGGAACAAACTGAAGGAGCTCTGAGGCTCATTTCCCCCCGTACATTCAATCACTACTGGGTGAGTGTGGAATGAATACAAAAAAACCCATATCAGAATGATGACATCACTGCAAAACAACCACGGAATTTGTACAGATTGTTGTTGTCTGTCACAGCTTCAGCTTGCCAACCGATTAGATGTTAAACTGAATAACGATGAGATGATGGCCTACCTTTATTGTTACACGGGTTGCTGAAGCTGGCCTGGCCGTGCGTCTTGAGGTGACTCGTGATGTAGGCAGCGCTTAACATTTTGCCGCAGATGTTGCAGGTCACTTTGCCTTCGTGCCTTATCATGTGGGAGCGCAGACGGTCTTTGGTCGCAAATGCAGAGGTACAAGCCTGGGATGAATACAAAAAACAGTCAATAATTGTTTGGATTGGCGACAGGAATACACAAACAAAAACACAATGTAATCTCCTGGTAAGCTCTTAAATTCATTAAATTAAGAATGCAACACAATTCTTTAGTTCAATTTCTTGTCGTGTTTTTGATTTGTTGATTTATGTCTTTTGCAAGCGCCTGACCCTATACATTTATATTTAGAATGACGTGTTTAGTACATGGATAAAAACACTTTTAATAGTTGTTAATGTTTTCTAATTCAGACAGAGATATTAATTATAAATATTGCTGGATGCTTTTTTCAGTTATGTTTTTTCTCCGTCATCCTCCAATCAGGTAGTGGCCATGGCGTGTTAAAAGAGCGAGCTAATGTTGCGTTGGTATGTTGTCTTTGAATTGCAGGTTAAGCATATCAAACAAATACTGGGAGAATGCAGATCCTGCTTTTTATTTCTATTCAGAATCTAAATCCTTACACCCCTAAGTAGTAGATTCTGGGTGGCCTCTGATGTTCTCTAATCTGGTCGTAGGAGTTCCCAATGGCGTTGACCATCATGCATTCATGTTGACGCTTGAGGCAAACATTAGAGCAATATGCAGAGAGGACAAAGAATCTTACCGTTACTTGGCACTTAAATGGCCTCTCTGAAGAATGGACGTGCTTGACGTGACAGCTTAGATGATCAGGTCTGCAGGGTGACATGAAGACAAGGAAAACAATTGAAATCCTTCAGCTCCTTCCTTCAACAGTCCTTCTTGTGTTCATTTACAGCAGAATTCATTTATACAGCAAGTTTTATTCTCAAAAACTGTTTGAAATGTGTCATTACCAACAGCAGTAATTATAACCAACAGTGTTTCCCACAGATCTGAAGTATACTTGTGGCGGTAGTCGAGAACGGGGGGGAGGGGGCGCGCTAGTGGAGCACGCTCATGAACTGTTCGCCGGAGCCTCGCAGCGGGGTTACTGCGTAGCGCATGAAGCAGACCCTTCACGCGACAGCGGAGCAAACTGGTAAAGGAGGGGCCGTTGTCCACTAGTTAATCGATCGCGGGGGGCGTCGTGCTCGAGGGCGGATAAAAAATGTTTAAACCTAAATGGGTGGTGAAATATACTTTGGCGGACGTTAATATACCTGGGCGGCCCGCCCAAGTAAAGTCTATGTGTGGGGAACCCTGAACAAGAACATATTTTATTGTAAACCAAATATTAAATACACACCATGAATCCTTTAAGGCTTATAAATCTAAGGCTGGCAATTACCTTTATTTTTCACAGGGACTACTCTTAAAAGAAGCCTCTTAACCTGCAATCAACAGTCAGCCCTAATGTTCCCTACAGTTGTGTTTTGTCAATGAAAACTCAACTAACCCAAGTAACATGGTTCAAAAGACTAAAAGACTAAAGATTAAGAGAAAGTAATACTGAAATCATTACAAATAGAGCTTGCAATTGATGCTCGCTTAAAAAATGTTTTATGTGAACAAGGTGAACTAAGCTGTTCCTCAGTTTAAGCGCCAGTACATTCATATTTTATGTATCGGCTAAAATGAAACTTGTAATTTGTCAGCAACTTCTTTAAATGTCTTCTATTAGATGACAAAGGTGATGTTAAAAATTAACAAATGCACTGTCCTGAAGCAAAAAATTTAAATGTATATACATCAGTCCACCCCGAGAGGGGGGGGGGGTTGACTTGAGCCGTCCCTTATAGATACTGTCTTTTTACGTTAGTGAGCCGGATCATTTGGCTCTCTTATGGCGCGTTTCCTAGTGCTGTAGCGACGCGTCGACGACTTCAAAATATCGTCGACGACATATTTCCGCGTCGACGCGTCGCTACACACACGTGGGTCACCCAAAGCAACAAGCAGTTCGCAATCGCACTTCAAACACAATGGAGACTGAAACGGCTACCACCTCCTCCTCACAGGATTGCGCACGAAGCCCCCAAACGAAAACATCTCGCCCTAGGTCTTCAAAAGCATGGGAATATTTTAAAGTTAGTCCAAAACGCAAAGATATTTATATATTTATATCTCACTGAGACTGCTGCATAGCCTAGCAGAAGCAGCAGCTAGCTGTGGTGGCTACCATTAGCAGCTAGCAGTTGCTCTCCGATTTTTACATAAAATGGAATTATGGATTATAAATTCAATCATTTTTTTATACATAGACGTGAAAAACCTATGGATTAACCGATTCAGCCGCGTTTTTTCTCATTTTAATGCCATTGAACGCGTCTTTTGATCAGATTGACAGCTACGGTGGTGAGACGATCTCCCGAGAAGCTCTGTGAAGGTACGTGTTGTGATGACTGTATTTGCTTCCCCTGTCGCGAGTCCGGATCACTCAGTGATGATACTATATACCTACATAATCTGTGGAGTCTCAGCTTTAATCGGATATATTGTATGTGCAGCTACGATAAGTAATAAGGGTACTTTTATCTTGAGTTCTGTGCCAATGTCCGTTAGCATTTTTCGCTCAGGGGTCATTTAGATGCTTCTTATGAGACTTGTGTTTTGTTTTGGTATAAAATGGTTTGTATCGTCAGTTAGCTGAGATTATTTCCGTTAATCTGGTATAACACATTAATAGGTTCTTAAATATTAAGATCCCCTGAGACACAGTATCGTAAAAAAACAAATTTTTACATTACGTTTTTTTTACATTACGTTTTTTATGAATTGAACAACAGAAAAATAATCGTTAGATTAGTCGACTAATCGATCAAATAATCGCCCGATTAATCGTTTTCAAAATAATCGTTTCCCCCCAGCACTAGCGTTTCCACTGCAGCTCGCTTTAAGCGTGCCGAGCCGTGCGGGCCCGTTTTTGGTTGCGTTTCCACTTGGCCTAGTTTTGGCCCGGGGCTACTTTTTCACCTTTTTTCTGGCCCGACTAAATCGTGGTTCTAGGGCCAGGAACAACCAGGCTGAGTCGGGCTGAGTATGCTAAACTAGAGAGAGAATCGCTGGCAAGGCGGCTACAACTACAACAAGATGAACATATTTGACCGTGATTTAATTGTAATACACGTTTAAAAATGATGCCGAAGTAACAACATACTGATACCAGTTAGTAAAAACCATGAATTAATGCTTTGACAAGTCTGCAGACAGACGGCAGGCGAAAAACCCTTTTAAAATGCGTGTTTTCTAAATGTAGCTTGGCTAAGCTAACGTTATATATGCTCCGACCGTCCACACTCACAACAACGACCTATACAGACATAAATAAACCAGCGACTGTATTCGCCATGACACAGGCAGTCTGTGGTTTGTACTTGTTTAACGTTTGTCTAGTTTCTGAACAGATATGAGGAGCTGTGAGCTCTGAGTGCTAAGAGCTAACGGCTGTGTTGTTTTTTGGGGCGCTCATTGAAGATGACGTCACGGGTCCGCCTACACTGCGTTACTATAGTAACTACCCCAGTTCTTAAACTGTAATGGAAGCGCAGCATTAAAGTGAGCCGGGCCTAATAAGGCCTAACCAAACCGAGCGAGGCCAAGCGAGGCCTGCAGTAGAAACGCGCCATTAAAGCACCGGCTGTTTCGGCTCCCAAACGTCTCTTCATGTTACCACAGTTTACCACGGAGCCTCAGTTTCGCCGCTGCGAGGCTCCGGCGCTCGCAGTTCACGCGCGTGCTCCACTAAAACCACCCCCGCTCATCGCGTCTAAATCGCGCACGTTCCGTGTTGTTGTCCTGTGGTAGGCACCTTCGATGTCGGGGAAACGATCTTCAATACTCCGAAAAATAATCCCACCAGACTCCTTTGCCCCTCCAACAGAGGGATCATCAAATCAAATCAAGTTTTATTTATATAGCATATTTATAAACGATTTTTGGTCGAGCCAAAGTGCTGTACATATAATAAAAATAGCCTAAATAGGCGGGATGTCCTTGTCCTTTTTCCTTTTCGTTATTTCAAGTGATAAAAACTCTCGATCTTCTCTCGAATTATTAATATTTGTGGACGCCCTCGGCCCGAGTTCAGGGCGTCCCGAGCTGAATAAGGGCGTCAAATGACGGCAAGACGCCCCCCTGGCGGAAACGCTGATATACATTATGTCTGGATATACTAGAGCTCCCTCTCTGCAGCTGCAGACACAGATGTGGATCCAAACTTCAGTCCCTTTCCGCCTATCTCCCCTTCTCAAATCTATCTCTTTAACAAAGGTTAAACCAGGCAAAGAAAAAGATGTCTGCATACCTTGAGAAGCCCTTCCCACAGACGGAACAGATGTAAGGCTTGTGAACTCCGCCGTCATGGGAGCGGACGTGGTAGGTCATGCGATCCTTCCTCTTGAACCTCTGCTGGCAGATGGGACACTCAAACGGCTTCTCGTCCGAGTGCGACAGCTTGTGGCGGTTGAGGTGGTACACGTCTCTGAAGGCCTTGCCACACATGTCGCAACCGTGATTCTTTTTCACCGGTTTGGGGGGCTTCTTAGGGACGCTCTGCTGCTGCTGCTGCTGTTGTTGCTGTTGTTGTTGTTGTTGTTGTTGTTGCTGCTGCTGCTGCTGCTGCTGCTGCTGCTGGTGGTGCTGCTGGTGGTGCTGCTGCTGCTGCTGCTGCTGCTGTTGTTGCTGTTGTTGCTGTTGTTGTTGTTGTTGTTGTTGGTGGTGTTGGTGTTGCATTGGGGTCATGATGCTGGTGCCTGTGGATGTGGATGTAGTGGCTGTAGTCAGGATTCCAGCTACAGTAGTGATGTATGAAGGGTTTCCGCTGTTCTCACGTGACCCGGTGGATATGAGCGGTACCATGGTGGGCGCTGTTTGCATCTTCTTAGGCCGTGAAACCATCTTAATGCCGGTGTGGCAGGACTCGTGCCGCCGGAGGTGGTAGCTGTCCCGGAAAGCCTTGTTGCAGTAGCCACAGATGAAAGGCGTCTTTGATTTAGGCTCCTTTTTTACAACGGCGAGTGGAGGCCCTCCTCCCCCAGTCCCACTGGCCACATTGTCTTTAAGAAGTTCTGCAGCACTGACAGGGGGTTTCTGGTCCAAGGGAATGGGCAGCACAGGTTTCTGATCAGGTGGCTCTGTTCCAGAACTGAGCAACGGCAAGAGGCTGTTGCCGGCTACGTGATGCTGGTGATGCAGAGCCTCGTTAGCCTGCTGTAATGAGAAGAGGCAGAGCAATGTAAATGGTGTTAACAATACATGTTGGTGAAATGCCTGATATTAGCTCTGTGGTTAACACAAGCTCAAGAGCTTTTCACTTGTTGTCCTAAGGCAGAAAATACATCAACACATACTCTACTGGTGAATGTCCGAAGCTTCTATGTATCATGAAAAACAGCAGTTGCTAACAAGTGACTTAATGAAACTTCTATACATCATCACGCGTCTGCCTTCAGCTTTGCAGAAAAAAGTTAGGTCAGTTTAACGTCAGCTGTGACAGCATCAGAATACACCATGGAACACTTCATATTTATAAATGTGGAGAACACTAAACTTTGGATTGTTGAACTGTCCCCAGTAAAGAAAACATAAATATAACAACAAAAAAAGAAAAGGGATTAAAAACACAGTAACTGAGAGATCAGGACGACATAGAATCAGCACAAGAAGACAGACGGGAAGTTACCCTTTCAGAGTAGGGGGTTGCATCACCCGATACATATAATCAGTTTCTCCCCAATAAACACATGGTCCCATTCATCCTAGAAATAAATATGAAATTCATCTTTATGAGAGCAAAAACTCATAACTTTCAACCCACACGAGGCAGTTTAGTCACAGATTCAGCATTCTTCATTATCTTGAAATACTACCAAGTTGGTTTGAGGAAAGGATAGGGGTTTAGGTATACATGCAACTAGAAAAATGTGTATTTGAAAGTGTAAAAAAGGACAACAAGAAAAAAATAAGTTTTAAACAATAAGTGTTTAAAAATCTACTGCTCAAAAAAAGAAACCCCTCATTGGTTTATTTATTTGAGTTGCACAGAAAATGTAACCAACCGGCAGTAAAAACAAAAAGAAATATGGAGGACATCTCAAGTCTGCAGCTGCTGGCAGGCATTGTTCGATTGGTCACGGCTGATCCCCAACGGGATAGGATGAACAGAAGGTGGTGGTGGGGTGGGGGTGGGGGGGGGGGCTTGTATGAATATTTTGGCCAGGGAGAAAGCAAGAGATTCACTAACAACTTTCTGAAAGGTCAACCCGGAGATGTGGCGATTGAGACGGCCTTGTTTTTTTCTGTAATCACCACTGGGCAGGGTTAAAGACCTGACCTGCAGCTTTTCAGGTTCAGCCAAGCATCCCAACCCGGTCAGCCGGGAGGAGGGGGGGGGGGGGACGGTCTGAGGGGGCCAGGAACCCCAAGTGCTGCTTTCCCCCCCCCCCCCCCCACTGTGTTCTTTTATGAACAAAACAAATCTAAGAAGTGTTGCACTTATGGCCCTTTGGGGGTGGGGGGGGGTTTACATTCAACTGCGGGCCCCGTCACTACTACGCCACGCAATGTGTTTTAGCGTGGCAGGGAGAGCCTGGCCGTCACAGGTTGTCGACTCGCTTTTATATCCGCCACACTGTAGCAGGGAGGAATCATTACTGCAATTAGCATTTCTCCAAGCAAGCCGAGGACGACCAAATGCTCCCTCTCTATTTCTCAGGAAGAACAAGGAGAGCGGCCTGCTGTTCTATCACGCTGTTCTGAACATTTTGATAAAGATCTGTTCTGACAGATAAATAGTACTGAAACAGAGTCTGGAGCATGGAAATTAACGAGCAATAATAGAAAGAAAAAACCGAACAAAGTCATTGTTTACTTTCACTGAAAGGCGGGGTATAGATTCCAATTGAATAGAAAGCTATTATGTCTACAAATCTGTCTGCATCATAGCCGTATAATACTTCTTTTTAATTGTCTCTTTAAAACCTCCTAGATAGCAGATTACATTGAAATTCAAAAAATGTCTTGTATAAGGACAATTTTAAAGTGTATTGCTTAGCTATTTATCCCCCTACCAAAGAAGATTCTTGTGAAAATATTAACAAAGTAGTTCAACATAACTGTACACAAATATCTTACAACGTAGCAGGGGTTACGCTATGTTATACAGAGTTGATACAGTTATGATATAAAAAGCAACATTTTTGAGGCAGTCCCAAGAGTACCATAGCTTGAAAGCAACTCCAACCTCTCAAACTTCATCATAACAGCAGAACACAATAAAGTGCTAATCATCACCTTAGGTGAACCAAGCAGAACCTTAAGAGCCTCTTAATAGTCTTCTTGTCTATTACACACAACATCCAGGTATTCTGGCAACTAACAGCCTCTTTAGCAGAGAGCAAAGTCAGTGTCTAAGCGCTGTACTACTGTGTGTGTCTTGCAGTCAGATTAATGGTCAACAGTTGGAAGTTTATTAAACGCCTAACTTGACCCCCGCTGGGCCCAATCATCTAATCTCATCTAGTTTTAAGATGTTTAGAAAACGTATTTACTTGGTGCCCAGATGTTTGTAAAAGAAATGTAAGTGCTGTTGAGAGAGAGAGCGACCGAGACACACAGAGAGATGGAGACAGAAGGAAAACAGAGTGTGTGACATCAAATTAGTAATTATGATGTTGTTAATCTTACAATCTGCCTGATCGCTCAAATCAGCTGTGTTCAGCCCACAACTCAGTGACCAGCTGCAGTGATTTATTTTTCACTGCAGCAATCAAAACATCACACAATCTAATCTCATATAGCTACTACCATCTTCACAGCCAATGGTGGTTATGCAGAATGATCGTGGGCTACAAATACTGACCTAACAAAACATGTTTGGTAAAAATCTTCATGATAAAAACATTAACAATTAAATACATTTTTCAGTAAAAGAAATGATCAATCCGTGCAAATTGTGAAGCCCGAGCACAGCCAACATAAAGTCTGTATATACATAACTGTCAGGTGCTGCAAGATACTCTTGGATTGCCCAACAACCCATGAAGAGACATATTACTCTATTAAACTCCACGTATATGCAAGTAGATCAACCATTTGGCACCACTGTATGTACGTACATACATACATACTCTTCACTTGGAACACCTAACAGTGTTACTTGCTCTCCACTTCGTGATGCAAGGCCATTCAACTTAACGTCACTTGTAACTTTGTAGAGGCTCCGTTTCATTGTCAGACTATGAAAAGCTTTCTCACGATTAAGAAAAGTTCTTGAAACAAGTTGCAGAGGCTCTATGTGTTTCCTAACAAAAGGCCACATATTACTTTAAAGTTTAAAAGGTGGCTGGCATAAAGTCTCGATCAGCTGTGACTACAGTTGCACATGATTTCCATTCTTGAGTGGTGTCGGTGGCTCCTGATTTGTTGTAAAAGAAGAAACGTTTGGCGTCTTTAAAGTGGTTTGTCCCTGCTGTCCGCGTGCTAGGTCCCATATAATTTACAGTGCTAGCTTTAGCCAACTTATAGTTAACAGACGGTTGTCTGGTGTAAGGTAAATGCTTTTAAAACAATTGTGTGCGTTGCTTAATCTGCATAATTAAGGTTGGGACTTACACTAATTCACTTTCTTCCAATTATCCTTAACTGCATAGTGGCAGGTATTGCCTTGGTGCAAACGAAACAAGTACCCGAGTTAGCTTACCCATTAGCAAATTAGCTTAGCATACCGAAATGCAATAGCTTGACCGACTAGCTAATTTGCTAACGCGCGCGCATCAACAGCTCCATAAATTAGCTTTCGCTGGTTTATGTACGAAAACGCTCACACTAGGATATGGCAGCTGGACGAAATGTAACCAACACCACGAAGGTGGCCTTGGAGACACTCCGTAGATCACAGACAGCCAGAGGTCTCGGGTTCGATAAAGCTTAGCAATTTGCTAAAGTATCCCACACAGCGAAGCCAGCTAGCTAGCTGGCTAACGCTAGCACCTTTGTTTTGCTTGGCTAACTCTAATGGATTTCACAAAGTGATGCAAAAACATTTAGCAGGCAGCATATTCATACCATTTAAAAACCGCGTATGCAATTTGTCAAAAGGACAGCTGTATTGTGCTACTTACTTGGAATAAAAAGGTACTCCAGCTCGGTTCCATTGCAACACTTAGGCTAAAATCTGCAGGAAACCTACAAGGAATCTACAACAAAGCAGCTAAACATGGCAGCTACAACTTCCTGTAACCCCCAGGGCTGAACCAAGTCCAGCGGACTTTTTTTTAGGACGTCTGGATTTTACAAAAAATACACAATCACACTTTTCCAGTTTCTTTTAAAACTCCTTAAAAGAGGATAGGCCGTAAGATAACAAAAAATAAGGTTTACAACGAAAAAGTAGTGCCAGTATAATAAATATATGAATGACGTAAGAGTATTTTTATAATTTTTATATAAACAGAATACGGGCTACTAGGTTAGGAACATATCGTTATACTTAAAATAGCTATAGTAGCCTACGATATATTTACTCAATATGTATTAAGAAATAATTCAGAATGAGAGATGCTTTTAATAGTAGTCTATAATTAGTAGTAGTGGTTTATTTACTTAATTCTGTCTTAAATAGGCTACTAATAATATTCAGAATCAGAAATACTTTTTTTTCAAGGTGAACATTTTAATTTGTTAACTGCTCCCCTTTAGATTAAACAATGATTACACTTGTTGTTGTTTTTTAAATAAACAAATACACAATGAAGTAAACATCTTGACATTTTACTAGAATTCTTAAAAATTAACACAAATTAATTAACAAAAGTGAACATCCATACATCTAAAGAAAATAGCTATAGTTTAGTTTTATTAAATAATTAGGAGGGCCTGGCTTCTTCTACTGTTTTTATATAATTATACATCAGTCCTTTTAGAGTTCATGGGAGGAGGGCCTATATTAATGTTGTGGTCAGAAACATAGGCTAGCTTTACAGAGAACCTTCAAGTGAGGAGGACCCTCAACTGACTATAATATGCAATATTAACATATTCCATTGTAAGTCCATGGTAGAGGGGAACCCAAAAGGGTAACAGTCTTTCATAAGAAGGTTTCTTATGGAGGAAAATGACCCAGAAGTATATAAGTGGCAGCCATGAAGAGAGCTGTTTGAATTCTCTAGACATTAAGGACGGAGCTTCAATGCTCTGTATAAGAATGGATAGAGCAGACTGTACCTGCTGAGGAGACTGAGGTCTTTTGGGGTTCAGGGGCCTCCTGCAGACCTTCTATGACTCTGTTGTGGCATCAGCCATCTTTTATGGTGTTGCCTGCTGGGGTGGCAGCATCTCGGCTGCTGACAGGAAGAGACTGAACGGAATGATAAAGAAAGTTCTGTCCTGGTGAGTCTTCTGGACACTGTGGAGGAGGTGGGAGACAGGAGAATGGCAGCCAAGCTCTCCTGCCTGCTGGACAACGTGTCCTACCCCCTCCAGGACACCCTGTCCTCACTGTGCAGCTCCGTCAGCGACAGGCTGCTGCCCCATTACCATTATTACCATTACATTGCATCTAGCTGACGCTTTTATCCAAAGCGACTTACAATAAGTACATTCGACCAGGAAAACACAACCTTGAAGAAAACAGAATCATATAAGTACATCAGGTTTCATAGAGCCAAACATTTCAAGTGCTACTCAACTGGCTATAGACAAGCCAGTCCTTTATTAGTATATAAGTGCTCTGTTAGCAGTTCTTTGTTAGTAATTCTATCGCTCGAAGTGGAGTCGAAAGAGATGAGTTTTCAGTCTGCGCCGGAAGATGTGCAGGCTTTCTGCCCCCCGCTGTCTCACGGTGAGATAACGCAGGTCCTTCCTTCCTGCATGCGGTCAGACTATATAACCACCACGGCCCCTGGTAGACCCCCACACACAACAACAACAATAAACACTAACACCCTGTTGTGCAATACTACTTATGTGCAATATAGTATATATATATACATCGTAAATAACTGTGCAATATATACTTCCACCTTTAATACTTTCAACTTGCTGCTATATTTTCAAAAATGTTACTGGTACTGGATATGTATTTTGGAAAGCATTTTCCATCTTATGCCAAAGTGCTTCTATAGGCCTACTTTAAACTCTCAACAATATGTTAAACCAAAAGGAAAATTATGAATATAACGCTTGAAAGTATTATTTATACAATCAGGTTTATACAATCATATTTATTGGAAATTATGAAAATGGTAGTTCACCCACGGCAGACGCACATCAATACTATCCAGTGACGCAACATTAATCAGACCACGACTGTAAGTGCAGTCGTATTCTCTTAGTACCGCAGTTGTGTTTTCCTAAGTCCTGATGAATTTTCCTTCACATAGTTCCTTGACCCCTTGTTGTTTTTCAGTAGGGTTGAGACTTCTGGTTCTGATCTGTTTGACTTTGATACAGTTGGTATTTACATCTGGATGACCTGTGTTGTTTAGTGTTGACCTCACATGCTGCTGAAGCTTATCCATCCCTTCACTAAATGTGCACAAGTAACAAGGACCATCATTAACTGAGCCTTAGGGTTAGGGTATTGGGTTGAATGGAGAGGTGACACCTGCCGGCGCAAGAAAATATTTGTGGCTTCATCTGGAAAACAAAGGAAATGTAAAATGATTAATTTTCCTCTAACTTGTACCTTTGGAGCGAGCTAAATACTGAACCTTTGCATAAGCTTGCATTGTGTCCCCTTTCTAGCTTGTTCCAAACGCTTTTTGTCTGACTGTTCCCGGCTGTTCAGAAGAGGAAAGCCAACCCCCCTGTCCCATTTTGTTTTGAAATCTTTGTTGCACTGTACATTGCCAGCCTTTGTAGCCACATAGCACAATGCCAGTTTCAGATAGACTGGCTCAATATGTGTGGTCAGCCTATTCTCCCTTACCACGCTCAACAGGATTCATTTCATCAACAATTTAAAATTAAAAATAGCCATGCAAACTGCATGGCAAAGGCTTCTTTGTAAGGATTTATTCTGGAAAGCTCAATTTTACATCAAGGTGAGTTCAAATTTCATTTAGTTACCCTTCATTTGTATGTGTCTTTCTAGAATTTTGGGCACCTGAAGTCCAGTTTTTGTGATTTAGACAAGTTCTTCATAGGCAGACACCAACAAATTAGAGATAATGTTTGAATTAAAAACGTTTTAGCTTGGGGGAACAACATAAGTAGTTATGAATAAACATAATTTCCCAACAGGATTTAACAGTCTAGTGTGTTTTATTTAAGTGGATGCATTGGCAGAAATGTTATATAATATTCATATCTAGGTTTTCATTACTGTATAATCACCTGAAGCTAAGAATCCATGTGTTTTTGTTAGCTTAAAAGGAGTGATTTTTATAGATTGTCCGCCATGTTTAGAAGCCTAGAACAGACAAACCTCATTCTGACTTTAGACAGGAACTTTCACGTTCTAACGTTACCTGAAGGCCACAGTCGTTTCTCTACGCACTTTATAGGGGGGGCTGAGCAATGGGATATTTATAAGAAGGAAAGCTAAAACATTTATCTCTCTGCTCAATTTATCTTCAATCGGACATTTATCACATTGGCAATGTCAGACCTTAACTTTCCTTTCAGTTATCATTATTGTTGCTATTAACTGAGTTGAAGACGCACAAGTAAACATGGCAGACAATGATCAGAAATATATGTAGTTGTGTGATACGCAGTATATGTAGTTTCTGTCAATGAACGTCAGCTAGCTTCTCAAAACTGTGATAAGAGCTTGTACGTTTTCTGAAACCAGGATATAGAACTATAATACTCCTCAGTGAATGGAGTTCTCAGTCGTCATGAATGGGGTCGGATGTCAATATTCCTTTAATCCGTCTTCAGTCACCTACTGACACCTGGTTGAAATGTAAAGCTCTGAGAAATATTTTTGTTAAACAAATATTCCTAAAATCAAGGCTGGACTTTTGTGTTGACACAGTTCACCGTGTTACCATGAACATAACAGCCACAACTGAACTGAACTGAAAAGCATTTTCTTTGTGCAAAAAAGTGGGGTAGTAACATTAACATTAAACCTTTCAGACAGTGGGATGGTTGCAATGACATTCTTTCTGCTTAAAAATAAGGGACAGAAACATTTAAAAAACCTTGTTGACATTATCTTTTAATTTCTCTCGAAGGTAAGCCATGGGTGACTGGTCCATACTTGGCCGCTTCCTGTCCGAGGTCCAAAACCACTCCACAGTGATAGGGAAAATCTGGCTAACCATGCTGCTCATTTTCCGTATCCTGCTGGTGGCGCTGGTTGGTGACGCTGTCTACAGCGACGAGCAGTCCAAGTTCACCTGTAACACACAGCAGCCCGGCTGCAACAACGTCTGTTACGACACCTTCGCTCCTGTTTCGCATCTACGCTTCTGGGTCTTCCAAATTGTGCTGGTCTCCACCCCTTCCATCTTCTACATAGTCTTTGTTCTGCATAAGATTGCCAAGGATGAGAAGCTGGATGGCCAAAGGGCACAGGTGATCGCAGAGAGCCCCCCCCAACAGAGACAAATGGGTAAGGATGGGATGGAGGCCCTGAGGGTCAACATGCCCTCCTACTGTCCCCACTACAGGGAGGAATGGGATGTGAAGGACAGGGATGGAGTAGAAGAAGGCCCTCGGGAGGAACATTATAGCGAAGTAGGAGAGGACCCCACCCAGCAGTCCAACCAGGTTCTGCTCATCTACATTATTCACGTTTTACTACGATCTGTCATGGAGATCACTTTCTTGGTGGGTCAGTACTTCTTGTTTGGATTCGATGTGCCTCAGCTGTACACGTGTGAGACCTACCCCTGCCCCACTCGTACAGACTGCTTTGTGTCTCGTGCCACAGAGAAAACGATCTTCTTGAACTTCATGTTCAGCATCAGCCTGGGTTGCTTCATGCTCAACATCGCAGAGCTCCACTACCTGGGCTGGGTCTACATTTTCCGTGTCCTCTGCTCAGCCTGCTCCACCTGCTGCAGTCAGGAGAGGGACACCGTCAGACTGTACCCAAACCACAACCCCCTCCTGCTGCAGCTCAAGCATTCTCTGAGGGGCCAGCTGGTTCTGCAGACCCCAGCAGCTCTGGCCCCAGAGAAGACTGGAGGTCTGCTCGCACATCCTCCAGCCATCTCCTTCGAGACAGACTCAACTGTGGAATGCACCTCCAGGAGAAGTCCAGAGAGCAGAGACAAAGTCAAGGTGAAACTAGCC